TAGACTTCTCTTAATACATAAAGAAAAGCAAAAACATATATAATACTGTAAAAACCAGAAAATAATTATTTAACCAGGAAAAAATTAATTAAGAACCAGCCTTGAAGATGCCATGTTCTATCTTTAAATTAGCAATTTGCACTATATATGTAAATTAGAATTACAAAGATCGTCTGCTTACCTCTGGTAGAAAATTATGTTTTTTAATCACCTGATACAACATTTCATGAGTTTCAATAGCAGGTCTAATATCCCCCTTTAAAACCTAGAAGTCAGCAACAACAACAAATTACCTAATAAAATATGAGTTGATTTTATCTATAATTATTATATAAATAAAAATGGTATTACTACAATTTTAGAATGTGACTATGTTTTGGTAATTCAATTTTAGAAATCACAAATGTGCCTGATTGGAATTATTGTACTTTAATATTAAGAAAACAGAGTTCTTTATACCTGTAAACCCGGAAAAAAGGCTAGCAGAGCATCCATCCAAGTCCGAGCATTCAGCATTGGTTTGTGAATATGCACATCAAGCAGAAGAGGTGGCTGGCTAATGTACCTCATTATGGCATCATAGTGCTGAAAGACCACAATATGTGTTCATGGAAATAGATGAAAAAAGATGTACATATTAAATAGCACTGTGAAAAAATCAAACCTGTATTAAACATAAATAAATGCACTAATTCTCAATTAACTATGTAAATATTTAAATTTTAGGTGGAAATCTTTCTAAAATATATAGACTCTCTTATGTCCCTTAATTCAGATGTGGAATAATAGAGACTACATTTAAGATAGACCTTCTGATGGGAGAAGATCTGAACACCCCATTTCCTATGGGATTAGCCCATGGTTAGCATGCCTTTCTGGCCCAGTAATGCTCTTAGGTCTCCTTGGAATAAAGGTACAAGCTACTATATTACAGATTTAGTTTTCTCCTGTGTCTAGGAAGCGTGGTCCCTTCTTAGCTAACATAATACTCTGGTGTGCACTACTATCTAAACTAATGCATCTAATTGCTGTTGCCACTCTTATGGTCTGCTATCTCTGCTTTTTATACTCTTAGAAACTTTTTCTCCTTCTTTTGTCTTCTTCTAGATACTTCTCAGCTTTGACAAGTTGAGTCGAAATAACAAGCCAACAAAAATAGTGTATGTCCCCATCCGCTTCACGAAAATTTTGTTATATTCTAAAAAATAATATATGTGATAGTATTTTTTTTTCCTTTTTGTCTTTCTTCGTGACCGGTAACGGGATCGCAACCCTCGGTG